TTAGATTTTTGTCGAACAACGATTTCGCAGTTGGAGACGTTGGATAAAAATCACCAGCACACTAGCAGACGTAGTATTTTATAGTTTAGTAGCTAAAATATTAATCGTTTCGTATAATACACATTTCATACCGGACCATATATGATAGTAAAGGTAATCGAAAAAAAAATTCACCGAATTCACTATATATCTATTATAAATGATTAATTTAGTGTATTGTAATTTGTAATGTTATTAATACGAAAAAAAAACTGACCTTATAAATATTTTGTTTCAAATATAGGTACTAATAAATATAAATAATAAATTATATTATATAGAATTATTAATAAATTGAAAAGTTTTATTTTAGCTTATAAGTATCATTATTATTTTTCATTAAGAAAATATTCTTTCGGGGTAAACCTACTTTATTTTGCACAAATTAAATGACGTATTTTTTATCATTTATCATTAGATATAATATTATTGAGATACATTGGTTATTAATAATAAGTTTTTCATACTTTTTTTTATAGATTTTTGTGATAGTGGGGGTAGATTTTTGATTAAATGTTTCATTTTAATAATGATTCCCACAAAACCTAAAAAAAACGTACATTTTTTTCCGAGTGTAATTTGTTCAACGTAAAAAGTCCAATTTTTGTTTGGCTTTTATATAGTATATAACACAAGTATTTTAATAATTATATAGATTAAAATGAATAAAAAATCTTATAATAATTCTTTTTTTAATATTTCAGTCACTGCAGGATACTGCATGCACGCAATTTTATCGTCCCTACCTGTTAGGTACATTTTTTTTTGTATCGGTCAACTACATAATAATTATATATATATATGTATATTGTATAAGTATATAACATATACTTGACGTTTTTATGGAATAATAATAACACAATATACCACAGAAGAAATTCATATTGTTCACATCAAAACGTATCAAATATTCACATCCCATCGGCGATTGAAAAAACAATTTTCCAAAAAACCATATTGTAATTTATATCCGCATCCTTCTTTTTTTGCCATTATTAAGTACCTGTATTGAAAAAAAAAATCGACCATAATGATGTATGATGGTGATACAAACACTACAAAGGGCTTTCATAACTATATGTACGACTCACTACCTACACTATGATTATTTCGAAATGGTTTTGGGACGTTAAAAATATTATGAAACGCGTAGGTATACTATGGCATGATGGTATACGTCATAATAATACATTGTATGATAAGTGATGTGATTTAATGTTAACATTTTTTTCGATTATTTACTAAATTTACACAGTAATATTAGTAAATGTTTGAATTATAAATTGATTTTTTTTTCGACTCAGTTATGTAATCATTTTTTATAGAAACTCTTTATTTTTAAATATATTTGTTTTTTTTTTGGAATTTGATAACAAAAATTATTTTTTTAGATCTTAATATGTTAATACAATTTATTATTGAACAAGTTAGGTTTTAAATATACAACGTATATTTGATATTTAATCGTTATTTTTTGCCATACTTTTGGAGTGAATTGGGTAAAGTTAGTGGTCCAAGTTCATGGTATTAGTTTATTAGCCATTACATTATGTATTACACACAAATCTCAAATCGTTTTATTAACATTCATACTCTCACATAGATCAATAAAAGAAAATACACAAATATTGAGTGGCCACGTAAATATATCCCTCATTGGTAAAACTTCACGTGGTGAACCATCACAATACTAACATAAAACCACTAAATATGATATAATTATAATATACATTTTTTTGATAAAGACTCGTATTCGTGCCGATAGTGTTATTATGATATATATACTATACGTCTATACCTACTCTAATATAATAAATTATAAAGCTGAAGAATTTGTATGTTTGTGGTGTTGTCGTGTTGATCTCAGGAACTACTGGATTGATTTCAATAAAATGTTTATCGATAGATTCCCTAAAACTTGGAAAGTGTCTTAAATTTAAAATGTAATTGTTTAAAAACATATAGGTCGGTATATGGTATCTGGGTCACGAAAATCGAATCATTTTTTGTTTACATATATATAGGGTTGTCACAATGCAATTGGTTTTGAAAAAAAATAAGAAAAACAATTGGTAGACTAGCGAAGTTATTTTTTAAATAAAAGAAAATATCAATAAATATAGGTATTGTTTGTTATTCAAATGTACAACAAAATGCGATGTATATTTTAGTGTTTGTAGCTATTAAACTCGACAAATTTCACCCGATTTTGAAAAAAGTTTTAGGATGGTTCTTGGAGATATCTGAAAAGTTTAAAGAGTAGTTTGAACCAAATACATTTTTCAAAAATACACTAAGTGCTATCCATTCTATCACAGGCCTGCAATCTTGCCAATCTCGCTCAAATATTAGTCCACAAAGCAAGGTACACCGATGTCTATTTTCCCGTGAACTGAAGTGCACTATAACTACATCGAGCCTGACCAATATGGCGCCGTGTTAAATGTGGATAAACGTAAATTGTGCCCAACGAAGGGAGCAAAATTGTAAACTGAGCCCGGTAATTTTCAGATATAAATTTCAATGTAGTAAATGTGTTTTATGATTGTTCATTTTTTCCCGGGCGAAGTCGGAATGTACCTACACCTAGTATTTATATATCTAGCTTTGGACGTCATGATGGTAATACACAGCGTGTGTCATTTGTTACACCTTATAAATTAATTACGCACTAAATACACATACCATATTATTATATAGACTAGGAAAACATTAAATATACACACTCGACACATTCGTATCCGTCCAAATTATCATATATTATTAAAACGGTAGGTATTCGGCAGTGTACGACATCAGGGGCGTAATTAGGGGAGGGGATTAGGGGGATAGATCCCCCCCAAAACTTTTTTTTACTACTAACATTTTGCTCAAAGTATTGAAAATGACCATTCATGTTTGCTAAAAACGTATATCCCCCTCCCAAACCAAATTCCTAATTACTCCACTGTACGACATTCGCCATCAGCTCGAGCAGACTCAAAGAACCTGCAGTTATTCAGCCATCACAGTTTTTCTATATATACACAGTTTAAAGTAAACTTATAAAAAATATTATAACGACAATACGCCTACAAAACGATATACCTATTATATATTATATTCTTATTGGTGAAAACCTCTTTCAAATGTGCTCAAACCACCAGCCATGAAAAAGTCTTATCCATATAAAAAATGCATCCCTGGACGACATCTAATATCGTAATTAGGTCCTTCGACCGCTCTTAAACAACGCCGCGCTTATAGTTTTCGTCCGTAAAATATTGTTTATAAGAGAGCCGGCCGTGTAACACACATTATATAAAATGCGCGCTTTACTCAATGTACACATATATATCGTATATAGTTACGACTTACGGACGTTGAATAATATATATAATAATATAATCGCCATGGCGTATGTACCATCGCGTGTGTGTATATATATATCGCGTTATATTGATACGCGAGTATGGAAACGGAAAACCAATTCGCGTCCTTTTCCCTTCGTTCGCTCCCACCCCAGGCTCGTGCTCTCTAAATAGGTATACGCGACTCGTGCGAACATCCGGAGTGTAGACTGTAGAGAACGATTTCACTCTCGACGCCAAAACTACGACGAAACCGCCGCCGCTGACCCATTAATCACACGGGGCGTGCCCATTGTTCGCGCGTTTTATCTGTCGCCGGCCCGTCGAAGTCTTCCGAAAATCCTCTATAATGTGTATTATATGTGTACATACACACAAACGCTCGTTCCGCGCAGTGTTCCTATGTTATACACTGCATAACGGAAAATTACAAAACGGATATAATATATTAGATGCGCGCGCACACTACGCACATATAAATATAATAACGATAATATTATTATACAACATGATCAATCGCGCACCCGTCAAGCGGCTCATCACCGAGCCGCGTTATCCTAACGAACTGCACGGAGCAGCTCCGTTTTTAGGATTTGCGAAGCACAAGTTTTCTTATCATTGTGTGCGGGTTTTCCATAAAACATGAGAGTCTAATTTTTCATTAGTCACGATAAAATGAGGGGAGTGTTGAGTCGCTTCAAAGAGGTTTTGCTTTACCACCCTATGACATAAATTTCTATATATTTACAATACGTGAGTCCTTTTTAAATAAACGCCTTTTTTTACTGTTCATATCAATTTATTCAGAAGAATATACCGTCTTTCGGAGGCATAGTATAGTGAATAGGAACAGGTCTTTGCATTACACCGAAAATGTCAGAAGCACCACCTACTTAGGCTACGAACATTTCGCACGAAACAAAAAGCTTTAAGGTCGTCTGAAAATATTACTGTACCACAGGTTTTCACCTGCCGAATTTGCCACATTATCATCATAATGAAGTATGTTTAACCGTGACAATGATTTACTTATTGCATAATATTAATCACATCGAAACTTAATTTCGAATTCCTTTGATATTTCACTACAAAACTTCAAATTTTAAATGCTATGAAATAATAAAATGTTTAAAATCAATTTTTCGATTTTTTTGTTTTTGCGAACTCGAGGCGCACCGAAACCGAGTAAAAACACCAAGGCCCAGGGCACTGCAACCCGTTCTTCCACAAGGACGGCTCTCGGGATACGCATAATAATATTGAATATAAGCCGCGGAAAAATATAAATTAATTATTATAGTGAACTCTCCGCGGTAGTACGAATATATACATAGGATATTATAATATACGAGTCATATACATGACTGCTGCACATCAGCTCCCTCGTCGGTTTCGACGCGCGCACACACACAACTGGCGTGCTCGAGCTATACTCTCCGAAATAATAACGATGATAATAATAATAATAATATAATAGGGACCTATACTCCAGATTTATTTATCATGAATCAGCAGCGGCGGTCCCTCTGCTGCACACATCACATCATATAATATATATGCGCACACCATTGTGTCTGCACGGCCGAGAGTGATTGTGTGTGTGTGCACAATATGACTCACGACGACCATCGCGGCGGCGGTGGAGGCGACGACGTCAACCCTCGCAAGGGCTACGCCGAAATCCCTATTTTTGCGCTTATTTGGTGGGGTGATGGTGGACGAAGCCCACACGCGCACCACACCGCATCGGAGACCTCGACAACACACCGCGCCAAGTCGCTCGTGCTGCAGCCATGCACCCTGGAAAGTCCGCGGGGACGACTCGATGGCACATAATAATATATTATATAATAGTGTTAGATATTATATGTATATAGTAGGATGTTGTATTCGAAATAAAAAAAAACGACTTTTTTCAAATTTAATATCATAATATAATATAATGTACGTATTTATATTATATATAATATATTTATATGCATTTTTCGTTTAACAAATTCACACGCTAGTATAACAGACTATACATTTATATATATATATAATAAATTTATCACAAAAACGGACCACGGTTTTATAAACGACGTACGCGCACGTCGTAAAACGTCGAACAAAAAACGTTTTTGTCATTTTTTCCTTATCCGGAAGGGGCAAACATAATAATATGCTTTGGTTTTATACAAGTTCTACACATATGCAACGTATATAGATTACAATAAAAAAAGGCCCCGGGTAGTGATAAAAAATCAATTTTAGACGTAAATATTAATACAATAATAATAATAATAATAATTTATAAACCTAAACGCTAATATCACAACATTGAATCATATATCCTAAATGCTTGGTTGATTGTCTATACATATGCATGTACAATAATAATATTATATCATATAATATACATCGTCAAGAAACGTTAATATTCAGTAAAAACAGACGGGAAGAAAAAACCGATTCCTTACACATTATTATCGCGTTATAATAATACATGACAATACTATTATCTACGACGACATTATTTACAGGGGCGTGTGTCGGTCGCTATTCGTCGGTGGCGCCGTAAGGTCTCCAGATCTTTTCCTGGCGGGGTTTGAGCTGCACTTCCGGGCTGGACGATCGGACGACGCCCACGCTGACGATGTCGATGTCCGGGCTGGGGGCCGATTCGCGCTTCGGCCGCTTGCACGGCACCGGCCGGAGTCGGTCGTCCGGGCCGGTGGTGGTGGCGGTTGCGGCCGCGGCCGCCGTCGCAGTGGCCACGGCGCGGGCCGATTCGGCGGCCTGTCGCTGTCGCTTCGACGGAACGCCGCAGTCGTCCTGCGCCGCCGGTGTGGTCGCCGTCGGTTCTTCCTCGGTGTGAGGTGGCGTGGGCGGCAAACCGTGCAGGCCGTTGTAGCCGGCGAAGTTGAACGCCGACTGGGGCGGTAAGTCGCAATACATCTGCGACGCTTCCATGGCGTCTGCGGATAATAGAAAAACACGACGAAAATTAGAACCGTTTTGACCGTAGGTGCATAATACGTCATCATTTATAATTATGAGTTTTCTATATTATACATACATATATCTTGTAATATATATTATTATAACAGAGTTTGGAGATTTTATAAACTGTTCCCGTTCGGATTTTCGAAATTTAGTTTTCGGGTTATGTTTTTGATACCGATACTTAAAATTACAGTACGCAAGAATTAAGGGTTCCCATTTTACGCGATCGCCTTATAATATATGAAATTAAATATTAATATCAACAATATCTATCCATAATAAACCAATACTATTAATTTATTTTTTTTTTTGAAAAACCATAAAATGATGAAAAAACATTTGATTTATTATAGAATTAAATAATTCTGTATACCGGTTATATATGGGTTCCGGTCAAGTTTCTGTTCCAACACAAGTATTTTTAATTTCGGTTCAAATACCACCCTGTTAAATAATATTGTTATGTATATTATGTGTACATATGCGATTTGTCAAACGGGATTAGATTTTTTTCCTCGTTCTTCTTTTACGTTATTCGGAATCGCCTATTCAAATGGAAAATTCGATTTGCTCTCATTCGTTTGAACTGTGCCGCGGACGGCTAGGGGTGACGAAAAATATAAAACCCCTTTTTCCGCCCTGTGCTACACTGTATTATACATATATACACAGTACCTTCACATCGCGCGCGTAACAGTAACAATAATAGTAATAATAATAATATATATATATATTATATAGGTTTTCGTATGTACACTTACTGTGAAGTTGGAAGTAATTGGCCGCTATGTACTGGTAGTTGAGAGACCCCGGTAACGCTGCTCCCTCCAGCAATCGTTTGTACTCCATGATCATGCCGTAAGGCGGCAGGGGACCGTGCATTGGGAACATGCCACCGTAACCGTGGATCACGTCTGAAACACATCAAGGGAAATGTTTAATGACGTTATATTATTATGAATTGACATTTAATTATTTTTAGTAATATTATGGACTGCTTAACGTTCGCCGGTTATCGACAAAAATAAATGTACGGGTCAAAGAATAATACTATACTGAGTGATTCTTTTATCAAACAACACTCATTATTTCAAAAAGTGTAAATTTTTTTGAAGATATTTTTTTACATAGTTTCAAGTCACTTATAAAACAACGTTTTTATTAAAAAATTATATTTTTAATTATTTTTTATCCTTATAATTTTTTAAGTTTTTTACTTTTTTGAATGACAACATAGGGTTTTAATTTTATATTCTAAAGTAGAATATTTTTCTTAGTATTTTGATACATGAAAATTGAATTTGGGGCGAGTAGTTTATGAGTTATAAGTATTTAAAGTTTAGACGAGCGGTGAAGTGGACAAACATTTCGCGGGGTAACCCCGAACCACTCGTTACACACAATCAAAATACTAAGAAAAATATTCTACTTTAGAATATAAAATTAAAACCCCATGTTGTCATTCAAAAAAGTAAAAAACTTAAAAAATTATAAGGATAAAAAATAATTAAAAATATAATTTTTTAATAAAAACGTTGCTTTATAAGCGACTTGAAACTATGTAAAAAAATATCTTCAAAAAAATTTACACTTTTTGAAATAATGAGTGTTGTTTGATAAAAGAATCACCCGGTATAGGCGTTAATGCATTAACATATATTGCACGTAAACTGTGACAATAATAATTTTATTTCAACGTTTTCGAATTAGAGCCGATTTTACCTAAATAAATCGCCGTGTTTCCGAATGGGAAGTCGCATGCAGTTAGAGTTAAATTTGTAATGCTAACGCCCATATATGTTAATCATTTTTTTTTTATATTGATAAAAATCGGGAGTGAAATGCACTTTTTTGACGTATAGCGTGCAGTATCGATTTTAATTGCGCTTTAAATTATTAACGGATGCCACTGTGAACTCGGTCTCTCTCGTTCACCACTCTCCCACCATCACTTTCTCTCTCACTCACTCACTCACTCCAACCGGATTTTAATGGCCGATGCTGTGGCATAAGGCATGATGCATGCGTTGTGAATAGGGTGGTCGACGTGGATGGGGCTCGGGTTAAGCCCCGAGAGCTTATCGTAAAATCCCTCCGCTCCCCGAAATCTATTGTAATTTTTACCCCTTTTGCGGGACATAAGAGGGTCAGTTTTATGGCCAAATGTTTACTACTCGGGTAAACCTCACCCCTCAACCCCTCGGTCAACCATCCCTCTGGCAGTGTTCGACACTACCACCACCACCACACCGCTGCTACCGCCACCACCGTGCACGTCATCCTTCCACTCCACCGCCTGCCTTCCTGCCAACGGGTTACAATAGCCGACTAAACCGGGAGCTATTGTGTGTGCGAGTCCGCGTTAAAGGGACGTTTTTTAGTGAACTCTATTGTACACAGTAAAGCGACAGGATACTTTCCCAACCCTCCTCCACTCGTTTCCGCACAACAGTTTGCTACCTCTTGTTATTATGTCACGTCAGTGAAAATGAAAATCTCGACGTATAATTTGCGGATATATTCGTTGTGAGATTTTATCGGATAATTGCAAAAAAGCACGGTGACAAGCGAACCATCAAAAGCATATGCCGATCAAATAATAAATTATACCCATACTCAATATTATAGGTAGTTGATAGGTATACAATATACATCATGTTATAGATTTTTACACGTAAAATATCGATACCTAAATGATTATTTGTTATATATAATTATTAATTAATAGCTGTCGATATATTGTTTAAATGATTATTAAGAAAACTACATTAAAGACATACACACATAATAAATAGTAAATACTATACAAAATGCACCTATAGTGTGTAATAAAATAGAAATTTAAACCAACGTATTTCTTCAATGATGTATCTTTACTATGATGTATGAGATGTATGAGTTTTTTAGTTTTAAATAATTTCTGCTGAGAAAGGGTAGTAACGCTGCATATTAAGTAGTACCTATACTTATAATATTATTGTAGTTGTATATTATGCATTTATAAATACCAGCTAGTACATATTTAAATCCTAATTAAATTTTAAAACTTGTCGTATGAACATAAAGGCATGTGTATGAAATCGATAACATCCTTTGTGTAATATATTATTCACGAGAAGCCCTCGGGACAGTTGGAGTGATTTCGGGTAAAAGCGCGAAAATAATTAAAAAGGGGCTGCTTTTCATAATACGTGACTGGAAGAGAGAGAGGGTAGATCGCACATGGTCAATTCCAAACGCGTATAAATATCTATGTATTATAATATATGATATGAAAAAAAAAAGAGAAAACAATCGATTGATACAAATAACGGTCATCGTTGTGGATGAAGTGGGTAATGCACGAATGGATTCATTAAGCATTCCCGAGACTACTTAATCAATTCGAAGGGCGAACATTTGCCCTAAAAAAAAAAAAAAATCCGAAACTATCCGTGTACAGTTATGTCCGTTTGTGTAAATTGCGTTAATACGCAAAAAAAAAACTGAGTGGGTTCCGAACAGAGAGGAAAAAAGAGCAAGGGCTTTCCCAATCAACTTCACGTCACGTGAGTGTATGTGCATTTATGTATGTGTCTTCCATTATCTACACCGTTCGCTTATATATGTATACATATATAATACATAATATATACGTATACGTTTTACGTTTTATGTATAAGCTATATACATATACATATAACCTTTCCAGCGAAAGACCAGCGGATGATTAATGCACTACCACGACGACTACCAGATAATCCCACACATGAACAAAAACCCTTTTAGGCATTTTGTATTTTTTTTTTTTTGTGTGTGTTCACTGTGACGTCTTTCCGTACCTTCGTTAACGTTATTGCAGCCCAATGAGTTTGACACACTATACCTTTTTTTTTTTTTACGTTTGAGTGTGTGCAGAGGTATATAATATATATACGACATTTACGTATGTATGTGTACAGCGTATGTTAATGTATTTTCCACGTCGGAAATGGAATTTGCGCATTTGGACAATTTTTCCATACCGTCCTACTTTTCCTACCCTTACACGTTAATACATGAGAATAACTACCCTCGGACAGCGACTGTAATATCCGCCCAAGAGCATATACGAGAAAACGGTCGCAGGCCATTAAATCTCCGCTTATCAGCGTTTTCCGACCGGAACTCAAGTCGGTAGCAATCGTGGAGTTTTTATACATTCTCGAAACTTGATAATGTCCATACATATTATATATGTGTAGTTATTATGTGCTATATGACTACATAGGAAACATTCAGCATTTTTCTGGTTTTGGTTTTATTAGTAACTACTAACTATATTGCTACTAATAAATAAAGTAAAATATGTTTGACTTGAACATTTGAGCATATCCTAAACATATGTTATGTTATGTTTAGCATATTGTACTTATAAAATAACAAACATGACTTAAAGCCTTAAAGGATTTTTAATTTTATGTTTCGCTATGATTATATGCGCATACAATACGATATACCTACATATTAACCATATTATTATGTTTCAGTATATGTATATAATATTAAAATTCGAAAAAATTGAACACTCATAAAAACCTACTATGTATCGTGTACGCATTCTATTAAATATGTATATACATTTTAAATGAAAATAATAATTACGTAAGTACTATAAGTACTTCCAGGATTTTAAGTATAATATTATTATACTCTATTTTTATTTAACCAACGTAAAGCTACAGACTTTGATGATCTCTATATAATATAGTAATTTTGCATATCGTTTTACAGTAAAAAAAACTAAATTTTGAAAAACTATTTCACTTAGTGCTACTTTTAATTGAACTGCTTAGTTATAATAATATAAAATAAATTTTACTCCATCCAGAGTGTCTAGTATTTAAATATTATGATCTATTATAATACCCGTCTATCGTACTACCCATATACTATTATTGGTATTTGGTTAACAATAATTAATTGTGAACTTTATTCATAGCTATATAGCTGCAGCTGGTTTTAGTATGCGTTTTTTTTTATACTTTTAATGGTACATATAATTTGCTATGCTAATAAACAATTTTCAAAAGAAAATTACTACACACATAAATATACATAATGCATTAATATAGTTCGAAATGGATCGACATTTAATGTCAAAAGCGTGTCACAACAGTTTTACGGCAAATGGACAGCAATCTAATTAGTCTGCTTGATATAGGTGTTGTGGTCGAGGTAAAGAGGAGTCGCATATATTTCTATTAAAATAATTAAATAGAACGCCGATTTCGGTTATATAATATTTTGCTGGCCTAAATTGATTAAAGGTTGACAAATTCAACGAGCTGTTGAAAAATATAAATAATTTATATTGGACCTATATTTACGCGTATATGGCATCACAATATTTATGTAAATATATTATATAGTATAGGTTAACAGCGGAGAGTTCAAATATTGCGCAGTTCGCTTTCTCACAATATATTCTACATAGTATATAATATAACAGTTGCAAGTATTTTACTATACTACTGCAGCGCACACATTTATACACGTCGCTAAATATCATATACTATAAATTGTATATCTATATATATGAAAATAGCGAGCGTATTGAAACAGTAAACAAAAATGAAAATCTTTTCTCCCCGCGCTCCGTGTCAAAGATCAATGGTGCTTCATTGAAATAACCCGAAGTTGGGAAAATAATATATGTTTTTAACGAGTTCGGGCCGCGTGTCGAAAGCAAAAGGGTCTTTAACCCTCTACCGTTTGTCATAATGACTGCGAAGTGCGAGGGGAACGGAGAAACCATTGTCAACTGTACGTCGTATGTATATAGTTTTAATCTAAAATTACGAGAGTAAAAAAGTATTATGTGGAAGTATTGTTTTTTTTTCATACATTTTTTTCATTTCAAAATTGCACCGATTTAAAGAAATGCAATATAATAATGTTATTTTTTTTTTTGTTTTTACGTACTTTATAGCCATTGTTGGCCCTATACTTGCATTATGAGAAGGTTAAAACAATAAACGAGCCCGAAAAATGTAATTCAATATCATATCAATCATACATTTTTCTTTTAGATTTTAGTAATTTTTGATTCGTATAAATTAATTTATATAGGTATACGTTCCAATAGTCATACAACAACTTGTAATAAAAAAAACACTTACCTCTGTGGTTCGACCGAGGGAGCCTTGGTCCGTCGACAGTGATTTTAATGGCCTTTACGTAGTTGGCTACTAACACTGCTTGGTCCTTGCATTGAACTGTGATGGTGAGTGTTAACAGCTTACCTATATACGTAACAATAAATTATACATAAAATGTTTATCGTTCCAATATATGTGTATATTTTTATTATTATTTAAATAATTGGAAATGAAACTTTATACATAATAAAAATATAAGATTGCGAATTAAATATATTTACGACTGTAAAATTAGATACCTACCTAAAAATAATAAAATAAATAAATAAAAATTGTGAGTAGGTATACCCGTTATAAATTTAATGAATTCTATATAACAACAATATTAAGTAAATGAGTAAGTAAATTATATACTGACAGAATATTTTTTAAATATAAAATTGTGGGTGTTCAAATTTATAGTATCTAATACATAAATATATATGTATACTGCTATAGGTACCTAAAGTATTTTTTCGAAATTCTTGAAAATCACTTAAGACGATACAACATAAGTCACACGGGTTAAGATATTGTTATATAAAGTGATCAGAGGCGATGTGGTTGGGTTACAGACCAACCGGAAGTTTTTACCCTTATTTGGGCCTTCAGAGAGAGGCTCAAAGGCCACAAAAACTCAAAACCGAAAACCGTTGTCAATACAGTCCAGCCCGGTTGTGATGATAATTATTAAATTATTTTAGACGAACCTCTCCCACTGCGGCCGACGAATCGGAGGTCGTTGAAGACGGCGATGCCGGTGGCCGACAGGGCTCGGTAGTTTCGCATGTCGGCCGACGGATTCTCGTCGTTGCCGGCTTGCACGACGACTACCGCGCCGTCGGGAACTTCGTCCAGCACGACCACCTTGAACGGTATGGGCAGAGATTTATTGGACCTCCAGTGGCCGGGCAACACCGAACAGAACACGGACGGGCTGCCCGTGGCCACCATCTCCTTGCCGTGGATGGCCCTCACGTCCTCGAGAATGCACGCCACGTACTTCTGGTACACCGCGTCGATGTCCTGCGCAAACGCGACCCAAATTGTTAGTTAATATTGCAGTTTATAATATAATAATATCTATAATAGTATCTTTAAAATAATTTGAAATTATCTACCAATGTACCTATATAATATATTGTTACAATATAAATTATATTAAACGTGTATCTATACGACGTACCTATACTGATTTTATATTAATACTTATAAAATATAAATTATAATCCATTGGTATTTTGAATATTGAGAGATAGATTCGCATGTACTCGCGTATAATATATATTTATAATGTTTCACCTAGGTATGATCAATCATAATTTTTTTTTAATTTATTGCATTTGAAAACTCGTGTATTCAAAAAGAGCTTGTCATATATAGTTATAGGTACTTATAATATTAGCTAAATTAGTAAATTTTTTTTTGTATACATTTTTATTCGCACTTATAATATAAAAACGTCCGTAGGTATAATATAATATGTTACATTGTACCTACACGCCATGTAGACTGCAGTACAACATTATTGTTCAGTGTAAAATTAGGTATCAACAAGTTTTCACTATTTGTTTTTATTTTCAACCCCTTTTTAATTAATTTTATACTGCGTCCCAAAATGATTACTTCGGAAACATTTCGTACATGTACACAAACACAAGTTTAACATTTTTTAATTCGATAAATAACGAAACTAAAATTATTGTTATTTTTTGGATTATTTGGATTATTCGCAAAATAATATGATTACATTCCAGAGTTTGTAAAAATTTTTTAAAAGTGTCTTGTGTGGAAAACACTTAAATACAGTTATCAAACCAATTTATTTTAATCAAGAAAATATCGTAGTATAATAATTGAAAGTTAATTAAGACGAACGTTGAATGATATATCCAGTTGACTACAGTTAAGGTTTTGTGTTTTTACAAAGCAAAAAATTTAAACTTAACGTTATTCGAGTCTGTGTATATTTCGAGATACACCAAGCCGACACTCTTTGATTTTAAACACAGAAACAAACGTTCTCATGTATAATAATAATATAAATTATATACACAATACATAAGGTAGGTTACATACTATAATACCATAAGCCTATATAAATATATTATAATAATACTTGCCATGATGTCTGCAGCAGTCGTCGGTAGGCTGGTAACGAGATCACTGCTAGCGGAAGACGTTGCACGACGGACTCGTCACCGATAAGTGGTCGGAGTGACGAAAAATTAAAAAACCAAAAAAAAAAAACCGAAACGAAAAAATACAAAAAACGGAAAACGCTGTCGGAAAAACGACGTCCCACGCGCGGGATCGAGCTTGGCAGGCGTGATCGGCGACGGAGGCGGCGGTGCGGCCGACGGTAGCCGAGCCGGCGCGACTGTTGTACACACACTATGTGCAGCGCTCGACGCTTCGGATGGGTCGACGGGCGGTAGTGGTCGGAGGGCGAGTGGTAGCGGTCGCGCCAGAGAAGTGGAGGAAAAAAAAAGGTGAACCAAAAACGCGACAAACCGCGTCACCGATCTCGGCACAACTGAAATATTCCGCACGCGGACGACGGGACCTCGTGTTATGTCGTCCCCACCTCGCGCCGCCGCCGAGCCACCGCTACCACCGCCGCCGCCACCACTACCACCACCGCCACCACCGCTGCGGCCACCAGACACGGTAGTGTGTTTTTCGTCGGGGTTTTTTTTCACCCTCGTTCCCACCGCGGCCGCCGCGCCGCCGACGACACTACCGCGTATGTATATAATAATAATATGGTGTACGCGGCGCGCGCGACCACCGCCGGCCCACTGCACCGCGCGCCACCGCCGCACCGTAAACCAAGCCGCGACCCCCAGCCGCCCCTTCTTTGCGTGCGGCCGGGGTTTTTATCCCGCAAAACGCGTGCGGCCGCCGCCACCGCACCGCACCGCGCGCGGCCGTGCGATTACCGCCGACGGTGGCTACGGTAGGTACGGCGGCGGGATGGGGGCTCGGGGGATTTTGATTGACCGTACCGCCGTTCGTCGTTGCGGCGCGCGGTCGCGGGTCGGCGCGTCGCGGCGGCGGGTGGTAGCGCGGTACCGTCGCCGCCGTAACGGCACACGCATCACTCCCACCACGGCCGGGCGCGGCGGTTTGCGGCCAACCCGTCGACTAAAAAATGCCCCGCGACCCGGTGAGCTTCGGCGCGGAAAGAAATCGCGCCGACCGGGGGACGGGCCACCGGCGCGCGGTGTCCGCCCAGTTGCGTTGGCGCCCGCGTGCGCGCGCGTCCGTGCGATCGTGTGTGTGCCCGCGCGATTGACTCGGCGGCGACTCGAGCTCGAATTATAATAATAATATTGTTATAATACACATCAACTGTCGTCATTTACGATGTTATGTACACCCGCGGTCCACGGCGGTAGTGGCGTCAGTGGCGGCTCTTGTCACCCGCGCTTTGATATCGTTCAACCGCAACTGTTTAAAATATTTCGTTATGACATTTCGTTCACTATAATATAGTGGGTACACTACTAGTATTGTGTTAATAATGTCCAGATAATGTATATCGATGGCTATTACGAGTTCTTAAAACAACGAGATTCAATTATTGCGGGGCTTATGTATGGTTCTATATTAATTATGACCAGTGGCGTGGTGAACATTTATAAACCTTGATGCCCAGCATATATTTCAGTACCTACCCCTTCTTTATCCCCTTAATATAATATATAATACATATAATTATTATGGAACTGTAAATATTTTAATTTTTGTTGTATGTTATTGGTTACCATAATGTACCCAACCACCCCACCCCAAAAAAAAAAATTTCACCATGACGCCTAGGCGTCATAAAACCCCATTCACCACGCCACTGATTATGACTCTATAATATTATCTGAGAAAATTATACGGATGAGGTCAATAATAAAATTAATGATTTGAAAACTGCGTTCCAAATGCAACATGGTTCACACTTGGTTTACAAGCACATATTTTAGTTCTCAATCAAATAATTAATTAATTAATATTTAATATGTGCGAATGTACCCCAGCCTAAACATAATATGAGTACGTGCGCTGAGCCTTCAATATCAAACATTATACTATGCACTGTATAATATTATATGATATATAATTTATTAATATACCTATATATACCTATATAATTAACAATTATTAAATTATTGCATGTATATACTTTGTATACCTAGTATTTTATTTTTTAAAGTTATTTTAAACATAAAAAAAAAACTCATCAACAACAAAAAATAAATATTATCTTTCTAAAATTCCATAATTCAAAAACCCAGTATTTATGTACGATAAACCTATATATTATATAGGTACTATAATAATAATATGATGTTTATAGTACGAGCTTTTTGTTCGCCACCGCCATCGTCTTTTCGGTTGATTTTTTCGAACTTTCAAGGTCGCCGCTTCCGTAACCACTGCACGACCTATATAATAATATATATGCGTTACACCCCTCTCAGACCACTCGGCCACAAAGTCGACCCGATTTCATACAACGCTATATATGTAGATAACGAAGAATTAAAACTACCATTGTTTACAGTAATTGAATATTATTAAGTTATACTAGTTATAGGACTTAGTTAAAACTGTAGACACTTATAACCTATAGGCTATAGGTATATATTGTAACGATTGTATAAATATTTTGATACACTGATCAGTATAGGATCTATTATAGTTATTTAAATGATAACAAATAAACGTAATATTGCAAAAAATTAAATTATTTATTAATAATACAATAATTTAAACAGTTATATTATTATTTATTATATACACCATCAAAGCATGTAGGTTTATTATACATCATATAATATTGTACTATCAAAAAGTAAATACATAGTTTTAATTTCAGTGTAGTTCAAACTTTCAAAAGTTCATATACCTAAACCTATAAATGAATAAAAATCTTAAGACTTTTTATTAATAATATAATATATGGCTAGATTATAATTTATAGATACCATAAACCTATAAGTTATGACATAGATTGTATAGACAACACACAAGATTAATTTTGAATTAAACATTATTCAGAGCTCGGAAATCTAAACTGTTTTTTTATTATTTATTTTATTTTTAATCATAATGCGTTTTACAATAAGCGTGTATGGGAAAAATTATTATTGTAACAGAAAAAAAACAAAATAAAAGATTTCATCCAGCGGTGCAGGCACTTTTTTAAAATCTTAAATATATTGTCACATCATAATATTATGCATGAGTATCGTAATAACTTTAGCTATATCTCAAAACAATTTTCCACAATAATTGTATACAGTGAAAAACAAATTGTTATATTATATTGTAGGTATTGTTAAAGAAAAAAAAAACACCTTCATTACATCTATAATATATTTACTTTATTTAGGTTGCAGGTTAACACGCAGCAATGACGATGTATGGAAAACAAAATATTGTAATTGGTAAACAAAAAAATCTATAAAAAAATGATACAGAATTGGTTATTGTTTTATAAACAGTCGACGGAATCAATATAAAAAAATATCCAGCGGAATCGATAAATAAACCGCTGTATGCGATGAACCTATTTTATTTTCATATGAAAATATATACCTGTGTAATAAGTTTATAACTACTGTTAATATTATAATTATAAAGAATTGCATGTAAGTATACAATAATATTTTATATAAAATAAAATATTTTTCTGTATTATAGCCATTTTGACTCCAGGAATATTATTTAAACGAAATGTCGGAACTTTATATATTATTGAGATAGGTATATAATAATATAGGTAATATCTAATTAGGTTAAACTAATTTTCCGTACAATGATACACATGCATATGCAGTGGGTCAAAAATAAATGCACTATTAAATTATAGTTTATAATAAAATATGTACTGTAGTATAATAATACTTATAGGTACAAGTTAGTATATTTTTTAGGTTTAATTCACAATAGAATCGATATACGAATAAAAAAAATAGGGTATACGCACATTGGCTGGACATTTTATTAATTGTATGCATCCACCTGAAACCGGATTGCCCTGTCAGTCGATCACATATATTTAAACGTGCTCATATGCATTTAAATAAACCGTTTGACGGTAGGTACCTACCTATATTTATAATAGCTGTTTGTGTAGGTATATTATATACCTATAAAAGCGTGTGACAACTTCCGGCCGACATTTGGTAGACCAACATATCGTTGGGTTTCAAGACAGAGATAGCAATTTGTACGTCAATTCGCCCACAGACACTCTAATTATCTCATTAAATGAGCGTGGGTGTGCTAATCGAATACGTATAGCCCTCGTTGAGTAGTAGACCTACAACTGCACAGCATGTGTGTGTCTGTTTCGCTATAGAGCATTGTCCTTAATTCGATTACAGACTACCATAATCATGGCCACCCCGTTTAACAAGCTATTGGGTCGCCAGAATAATATCAGAGTGTGGAACCATATAATAAATGAAATTGCTTGGCAAATTTCATGTATAAATTATACATCGCATAGAATCAAGTAAATTATGTTCAATGGATATGAAATAATCATACCTAGGTATAATCCGCACTAAACCCTATAATGGCTATATGTATGTATATACAAATAGGAAATTAAATACAAATATTAAAAGACGTATGATAAACATATAAGTATAGGTATAAGTAAACTGATTATATTATAATATTATAGTCTCTATAATACGTTACATAGATATTGTATAAGAAATAAAAATGTACTACAAAACGTAAAATAATAAAAATAGCTTAATAGCGTAGTAGAATATAGATATATTATTATCATTATGCGTTATTAGTAGGTACTAGGTAGGTAGAAATACATCTACTGACTACTTCATAATCATAATTTAACATCTTTAGTAGGTAATATATTCAAAAATTTAAATTATCTGCATCACACAATGTATTATTTTATATAGGTACTACTACTGGATAGTAGGTACTGGTAGTACTAGGTACTGCCTACTCTAGATTACACCTAAATGGAGTAGGCACCTATTATATGGAATATAGATATTACAGTTATACACCTATTATCTATAGAAGAAAAAACGTGAGCGATGTATTTCTATACAATTATCAAATAAATCATAATTTATACTAA